CCAGGCTGGCCTCGAACTCACAGAGATCCGCCTGCCTCTGCCTCCCGAGTGCTGGGATTAAAGGCGTGAGCCACCACCGCCCGGCTGGAATTTTTATTTTATGCATATAAAATCTTTCTTGATTGCTTACAAATCTAGTAGAAATAAACTCAGAAAAGCAGCCCATGGTGATATCTTTAAACTTCTGTGTTAAGAATGAGCTTAGGGGCTGGTGAGATGGCTCAGCAGTGAAGAGCACTCGTACACATAAAATTAAATTTTAAAAATAGTAATATCAGAAATTATACTCATTAAGTCCTACTACACAACTGTCCAAATGTGAGCTGAACAAGGATGACAATAATGAACATGTCCAACTGGATGGGGGAAAGCCCACACTGCCCCAACCCTACAAAGAACTGAGGAAAGCTGGGAGCGGGAGAGATGGACTTCTCCAGGAAGAGCACAACAATTGCTTGTCCAGTGCCAAACAGACCTGAAAACAAATAGACAAGTAACATGATACAGACTCAACAGGTTCCAGTTATCCTGTCATCTAAAATCCACTTGCTCTTCCGTCATTTTGTTTCTCACCACACCCGACTCCCTAGCCTTGGCATTTCGGTCCCCAATAAACCTTTCCTTCTACCCATGGAGTGGTCCACTGCAGTGGTTTCACTGTGCCATCACTTATACTTGCAAGGCAAGTGCTTTATCAAGTGAGCTATCTCAAGCCCTCTATCCAATATTCATCCAGCACTTGTGTGCCTCCCTTGCAGACAAAGAAACTTTTTGTTGTTGTTGTTGTTGTTTATTGATTTTCGAGATAAAATTTCTCTGTATAGCTCTGGCTGTTTTGGAACTCTGTAGGCTAGGCTGGCCTCAAAGTCAAGAGTCCTGCCTCCTATGTGCTGGAATTAAAGGTTTGCGCCACCATGGCCAGCCAAAGTCACTTTCATAAGGAGCCCAGGGAAGGAAGGGTCTTAGTTTCTGAGACCCCTGCTATCAGCAAAAGGGACTTTTAGCTTTGAGGACTGTTTGGATTTTTCCTCTTTAAGTTCCAGCCATTCCATATCATGTGGAGGTCAAGAGTGGGTCAGTGGCTCTCTAAGAAGTGACCTTGATGACAAAGATTCTGGTCTATGTAAAATGGTCACGGGTCCTAGGGTGTGAGAGGAATAACTGAAATGCTGCACATGGCATCTTCTTCATTCCTGGTACATGGAAAGTACAGAGTCAGGAGCTGAACATAGCTGCACACACCTAGAACCCCCAGCCCCCCCGGAGGTGAGGGCAGGATGGAGCGATCCAGACAAGCCTGGGCTACATAGTGAAAGGCAGCCCCCCAAACCCAAGGGCTAGCGATGTATCTCAAGGACAACACTTGTCACCTATGCACCACAAAGAAAGAAACAAAAGGACAGGATCAGGGCCTGCCTCTCGCCTTCTCCTTTCCTTGCTACTTTTGAACTTTAACGCTACTCCTCCCGCTTTTATGAAACAACTCATTAATTTTCAATATCTAAGCAGCTTCCCTTTCCCTAAGT